GGCGGAGCGCGAGCAGGAGATTGACCGCTGGCGGGTCAAGTGCGTCCAGGAGGTGGAGGAGAAGAAGCGGGTAAGAGCAGCGGTGCGCACGGGGGTGAGGGCAGTGGCGTTTGGAACGTGAAGGGGCACGAGGCTTTGCGCTGCCATTTCCCAGGGCTAAGCCTCCTTATCGTCACTTGTAAAGTAAAAAGGTAGTTTGCCTTTCCGACCTCATAGCTCCGTATTGATTGCGTGTTAGTAATGAATAGTAGCAACACCAGTGCTCTGGGTGCACTGCAAAGCCCTGTATACATTATGTAGGAGAATTACACAGGGGCGTTGCAGGAATGGCAGATCTGCACCGACATTCTGACACCAGCATTCAAGACTAACAAGCATCTGGTGCTTTTTTTTTTTTAATAGATTTGTATTGATTTCAGAGAGGGGGAGAGAGATAGAAACATCAATGATGAGAGAGAATCATTGATCTGCTTCCTGCTGCACGCCCCCCTCTGGGGATCGAGACCGCCCCCGCCCCATGTGCCCTGATCAGGAATTGGTGACCTCCTGGTTCATAAGTTCCCGCTCAACCACTGAGCGACACCGGCTGGACCCTCGGTGACTTTAAAAATACAATACATGGAGAACTTGTGGCCTTTCCTTAAGGAACATACATCCTAATTAGCTGATGGGTCAATAGTGATGATTTCCCCAGAAATCCTTTGTTTACGAATTTTAAACCACAAATCTTGAGATTCAACAATGGTGTTTTTTGAGCACTTACTATATACTAGGCACTGTGCTAAGGTCGTTACAGACACCAGATCTTGAATCCTGGTAATAACCCTGAGAGGTAGGTGGTATTATCCCAATTTTACAGATTAGGAAAGTAAGGCATAAGGAAGTTAACCTGCCAACAACCACACAAATTGGTTTGTGGCAGTTTCACGTCTGATTTGAGCCCGGGTTGTGTGATTTGAGAACCTGTTAATCTCAAGCTTTTTAAATTTTTTTAAATTTATTTTACTGGTTTTTTACAGAGAGGAAGGGAGAGGGATAGAGAGTTAGAAATACTGATGAGAGAGAAACATCCATCAGCTGCCTCCTGCACACTCCCTACTGGGGATGTGCCCGCAACCAAGGTACATGCCCTTGACCAGAATCGAACCTGGGACCCCCCCAGTCCGCAAGCCAACGCTCTATCCACTGAGCCAAACCGGTTAGGGCTCAGGGCAATCTCAAGCTCTTAAGTGGGGGCCAGAGTGAAACTGGAAATCGGTCAGATAGTTGTTTAAGACATTGTCATTACTTTTGCGTGCCTCCACGTCCCCCCTTCCTCCACTCCACTACCAGCTAGTGTGTCCTCCTCCTCTCCCTTCTGCTGGTGTCTGCTACTGCCCTAGAGTCTGGTGTAACTCCCCCTCTGCAGTGTATTGATGTCAAGCTTTGTTTTCAAGCCCCGCAAAACATCAGTGCTTTTAAGAATACTTGGAGGCAAGGCCTTAATTCAAGAGAGTTTGAGTCAGTTCAGACATTTAATGAGGGCCCATTAAGTACCAGGCCCAGTGCAGGGTGCTCGGGATAGAGATAAATGGGACATAGTGCTTGTCCTTGAGGGGCTTGGAGCCCCATGGGGTATCATGTCTGTGCAGCATTGTGTGTTACATGTAGGTGCTATAGGAGCCCAGAAAAGGAATAGCTAATCCTTTGGGGAAGGTGTCAGGGAAGGTTTGGATGATAAAGTAACAACCGAACTGAGTTTTAAAGGAAATGTCAAAGCCAAGTGAGAGCAACAGGTGCATTTCAGGGGAGAAGAGTGAAACAGCATGGTAGCTGAAATGGTGCAGTTACAGTGCTGATTTGCGAGATGGGAAAGAGAGCTTTAGGCAAAAGCATCCTCCCTACCATCTATGGTGAGGGTGTTAGAAACAGAATCCTTTGAGTAATGGCTTAGAGCAAGCATGATTTAAATAAATGAGGCATGGCTGTGAGTTTGACATGCTTGGCTTAGCCTTAGAGTAACCAGAATTATTTATCTACATGTGAACCAACTTAAGAAGAGTACAATAGGGTCTTTAGATGTCTGAAAGGCTGTCATGTTGAAGAGATTTTTGGCAGTAGAATATTTTAGGTTGTCACTGAGCATTGTAGAGTCCTGGGCTGTTATAACTCCATTAGAGGCTGGTGCATGAAATTTGTGCATTGTGGGGAGTGGGCCTAAGTCAGCAGTCAGACATCCTTAGTGCTGCTGCAGAAGCAGGAAAGGCTCCCGCCACCCCCGCTGCGCTCGCCAGCTGTGAGCCCGGCTTAGGGCTTCTGGCTGAGTGGTTTTCCCCCT